AAAGCCTACGCGAGGGGTGACACAACAGCCTACGCTGAAGCCTACGCGAGCCTACGCCCCCAACCAGGATTGCCTCCGCAAAGTACATGCAGTTCCCTTTTTGTATAAACCCTTTCATTTGATTAAAAAACGCTGCTCATTTAGCGAGGGTGGCTGGGTTGCGCGCAACATGTTGTTCACCCACGGTACCTTTGGCCCGCGAAGGGTATGTGACTGGAACGTTCCGCTACAGTAGCAGGTCCCCTTGGCCTGAGCTGGTTTGAAACTATGTTGGACTTTCTCGGGCGGATTGGCTTAAAAGTGTCTAGGTATGTCTAGGTCCTTCAGTAGAGAGGTTAGAATAAGGGCACCAACTTGTTTTCTGTAGTTTATTTTAGTAGGGGACCCTCCAAGCACCCCCCCCCCACACTTGAGATAAGGGGAAGCAAACGAAAAGGTCTCAATTTCAACCAGGGCTAAAGTCTTGTTTGAAAATACCTCCCCCAAAAAAGGGGTACAAGGGCACTACTGGGGGACCTAGGTGTGTTAAACATTTTATTGGGCAAACCAGAAAGGTGAAATCAACCATCCAAGGACCACGGATTGGAAAGTTGATCATGTGAAACCGAGCCATTTGAACGCCTCCGGACACCCAAAGGGAAAAACCGGGCAGGGTAGTAGAGGGGTTCCCACCCATGAGGTTGGGTTCCCGGTCATGAGGTTGGGAGACACCCATGGGAGGTGAAAGCAACTAGAAGCTTCCAGTTCCATGCCGGGCCTTCTCAAACTGGTGCAGCCTTGCCTGTTTGTGTGTTGTCGAAGGAAAACCGGAAAGGAACATCACCATGTTTGCTGCCCGGTTCCTGTATTGAGAAACAGCCATTTGGGCAAGCCGCAAAACAACCCTCTCCAACCATCTTTACCAATCAGACTTCTCCAAACACCTTTATTAGCTGAAGAATCCCCTCATAAAGCAGGCTGCAGCAAACATAAGGCATGGTTCAGCTCGCCTTTTTCCTCAGCTGCTGGGAACCAGCAGGCATGATGTTGAATAATGGACTGTGGACATCATAGTTCGGTGGGATTTCGTGTCCACCAACCACTTTTGAGGCCACCAACCACTTTTGAGGTGGTTACTCTTAAAATTCATAGCCACCAACCGTGCTTTGCCCAGGTAAGTGGGTAAAACCTCACCTCCAAACCATCGGGCTCCAAATCAAGGGGGAAGCTGAGTGGATGCTATCTCATTTGTTGCCCCGGCTCATGGTTTCCCTGAACAGCCCGAGATGCTATCCATCATTTTGTCCAAATGGGCGTGTCTTTTCCGAAGGGAAGCCACTGGTTTTGGCCACCATATCAATCGATGTAAAGCCCTTATGTACCGCTAATAGAACCCCATTAACCTTTATGTTCCTCTACGAACCCCATGAACTTCCATGAACCCTTTGAACGCTCATGGACCCCTATGAACCCCCACAGCCTACCCCTACTGTGGATGGACGAAATCCTGCACCACCTAAGAAACCCTAGAATGGTGATTCCCCTGTAGATACCAACAAACAATGGTTTCAACCCTGGATTCCAAGTGGTGCGAAATGGTTTTCGTCCATCCACAGTAGGGACACCAGAAGGGTTCAAAGTGCAAGAGTTGGGGATTGATCAAACATGGGATGACCACTGCTTGGAAAGCGACTAGATTATATTTCCACCTGCGAACCCGCCCACCACAACCCACCCCCAAACAGGGATCCTTACATTCTACACCTGAACATTGCAACTTGTAAATGGTGGTTGCCATTTATTGGCGGGAAAAGCAACATGTTTCAAATGGTTGCAACATGGAGATCTTTTAAGGAGCCCGAGGGGCCCAGCAGCCGCGCCCCGGGCTCGTCGTTCCCCACAGCGCTGTGCAGCGCGGAGCGGCAGCCCAGGCGCCGCGCGACCTCCGCGAGGTTCCGTCCCACGCCGCCCAGAGACACCCGGGCCTCGCCTGGGAATGTGGGTCAAAAATAGGTACCCGTCTTGGGAATCCCGGTAAATGAAACCAAAGACTAAAACCTGCGGTTTCCTGGTGGTTCCCACCTGGGAATTTGGGTGGGGGGAAGGGGGGGTTGGAGGTGATAGGCTTGGGGCTTGGGGCCTTGGGGCTTGGGGGGATAGAGGTAGAGGTGGGGGGGGGTTGGAGGGGAGGGTTATTGGGGGGGGGGGGAGGAACCTGGATGTTTGTTGCTAAGTTAGGAAGTCGATAGCCAGTTGGGGTTGAAACCAGATTAACCCCACTGCACGGGGACTTTTAAGGGGGGTATGATCTAGGGAAACCAACAACTCACAGCTTGGCCGAGCAACCAACTAGGGTTGGGAGGAGGGGGTTAGTTACTTAGTAATTTACTGGTTTGGTGGTTATGTAGCTCTTTGGCTGGAAATTGGTTTGGAACTCGGATTTTGGTTACATGGATCTTGCCAAGTGGCTGAACTTGTTGGGCTATGACAACAAGTGTTTGCGTGCAACAACTCAATGGGCAAGTTTCTTGGGGGGCGCACCCTTTGTGAGGTTAAGGAACAGCGTTTGGGAAACCTACCACTTTTGAGGACTCGTGTTCACAGCCATTTATTTGAGGTCACTGGTTATTGGTTCTCGGGTACCCTCCATTTGCTTCTTCGTCCAATCAAATGAATCAGAACATATGTGCAGTAGTGATAGATTCCGTTTCAAACCGGAGAAACTACAGCGTATTCTGAAACACACATGTACGTTGTAGGTCACCGGGTATAGGTTCCTGGTTAACGAATATACCTGGTTTCAAGAGGTAGGTGGTTGGTTATTTTCACTGAAGGTTGTTTCTCCGAATCCATGCCTGTGGCAAGGGGACGGACATCCCATACCTTCACTTCGGATGTTTATGTTCCCGACTCCAGGCTACAAGAAACAAAACAGCAAACATATCTTCCTCTGCCCCTTATGGAGACCAAAAGCAGGCTCAGGGGTTCCCTACGCTTCCCCCGCGGGGGGGGAAAAAAAAACGTCACCGGAAACTCAGGGCCCAGATGCAAACAAAACCAGCAGGAGAAGATGGGTGCTCATCAAAATAGGGGGACCAGGACTCCTGCATGGTGTTCCGAACTGGCGGTTGATCAATATTCCTGGGCCCCAAAATAACCATGGGCAACTTTTCCCGTGTGGTTGACATATCATCATTCTAGCCGTTTTCCCACCAATGGTCATCCCATGTAAAGGACCTTTTGATCAAGCCCCAACTCTTGAACTCTGAACCCTTCTGGTCTCCCCACTGTGGATGGACGAACCCCTGCACCACTTGGAATCCGGGGATGAAACCATTGCTTGTTGGTATTTGCAGGGGAAGCAAATCATTCCGTTAGGTTTCTGAACGGTGGTGCGACGTGGACTTCGTCCATCCACAGTACCTCAAAACAAATCATATGGCTGTGGGTCAAAACCAATGTTACCATTTTGGGGTAGGTGCACCTCCCTTTTTAGAACCCATTTTAGATTGGGTTTGCTCAACCCACTTGGCCAAAGGACGAAACATGTTGACCTCTCGCGGCCATGCCATGGGCTTGTGTCAAAAGGGGAAACCGGGACCCCGGGTTCGGGCCGTTTGCTTTTCGGCCTCCTTAAAAAACAACCCCACTTCAGGGAACCCTGAAAAGAAGCCAACCTTTGGGTGACTTTTTGGGTTGATTGAAAACCAGCCAAAAATCCCAAAAAGATGGTCTAACCCCTTTTTGGGTGTTTTTGTTGGTCTAGAAACCATCCCAAAACGGGGGCCAGAACCCGCCCCCCGTCGAAGTCTCCCCCGCCTGGCATGGAGGTCCTGGACGCGCCCCGCTGCGAGGCATCCGCTGGCCGCAGGATGCAATCCACCACCGCCCCGCCGCAGACCAGGAGATCCGCCATGGCTCGTTTCTCGGACTTTTCGCTTCGGCCGGAAGGACTCCGAGCTCCTGGAGGTCTGCTTTCTGTTTTGCCGGGGGGGGGGAAGCAGGTCTAAACTAGGTCCTCCAGATTTGAGAGGTTAGAATAAGTTGGTACCCGATTATTTTTCTGTGCTTTTTGTTGCCGGGTGGGGGGGAAGGGGGAAGAAACGTTAGGCTAAATCGGGGACCTTGCAAGATCAGAACACAGCTTGCAAAAATGTATTTCGGATATGACCCGCACACACTTTTGACACTGGTGCATTTGCTTGAGACTCGCAGCGAACGAGCCAGTTTCCTGCTCCCAAGTCTCCAACGGATATGACACATGTGTCGTCTTTTGAGGGTGCCTTTTTGCATGGTTTCAAGGGAAACTCAAAAGGCAGCCAATTTTAAAGGTGTCCAATTTTGCAACCAAACACAACTTGTCTTTGGAACCCAAAATGACACCGCGTCAAGTGCCAAGGTGGTCCTCATGTGGCTCCTCCTCCTACTCCTCCTTCTCCTCCTCCTCATCATCAAAATCATAATCATAATCATAATCATAATCATCATCATCATCATCATCATCATCATCATCATCATCATCATCATCATCATCATCATCATCATCATCATCATCATCATCATCATCATCATCATCGTATTCATCTTACTAATCTTATTCATGTGCTAATATTATTCATCTTCTTCTTGTTCTTCTTCTTGTTATCCTGCTTCTTCAGAGTTTCCTTTGTTTCCCCTTTAAACTTCACACCACAACAGAAAAGCTCACTTACTAACATGGGCCCTGAAAGAAGTGATGTTCAAACCAGCCCCACTTGGACGACCAAGGATGTAATCTGCTTGTGAGTCCCCCAAGAGGACTTAGCCCAGTAAGTAGGTCGTATCCTGGGATACTAATCACTTACTTGCCCGAACACCCAAGAACGGACAGCTTCCATTTGCTTCAGCCACCTGGAAAAAGGCAAACATACTTCCAGTAGTGAAATCGATTCCCTTTGAAATCAACGAGAGAAAATGACAACTGTTCTGATTCGCACTTTCCCCTGCGCTTTGGCATGCACGAAGCTTTCTCAGGCCCACGCGAAGCGGCCAGTACTTCCCGTTGTACTCCACGGGCAACCCTGATAACACCTGGCATGCGGGATAGATCCCCCAACCTGTGGTTTCCCAAAGGTTTCGGATGGTCCCAATAAGACCCCAAACAAACATCACCTAGGAATCCAACTTTAGATTAGTCAAACCACAAGGGGAAGAGTTGGAACTCTGAGACATCGCGTTGCAATCTCTCCAAGGTCCATCCCATTTCCAAGTTGCTCGTCCCTGGTGGGAAACTTAGAGCTCGTACCACAAAACCATGGAAAGCTGAGAACCATTGCGGTCTGGGTACCGGGGGGCCTGATGAGCCCCAAAATTTGCGGATTCTGTCGGGCCTGGTATGGAGAGTCTGGCTGAATAGCGGGCAATTTGGAGTCCCATGTCTTGCCCAAACTAATTGGGTTTGTCTCAAAATGCGGGGAACCGCGCCACAAAATGGCCACCTTGAGAACCAACTCCTGGGGGTCCCGAGAAAAAAACGACGCACCGAACTCTTGAACTCATTCGGACCTCAAGGGCTCTTTCTGCGGCAGCAGCATCTGCATAGCGGAAGACCGCGCAGTTCGCCTGAAGCGGCAACCCTAGCCTAGCCGAGTTGTTTGGCTAAGATGCTTTCCACTACCCCAAACCTCAGCTTCCCTCTAATTGGTTGGTGGCTTGGTGGTTGAGGAGCGGTTTCCCAGTTGCCCTCTATACAAGAACCGGGGGCATTTCTTGTGGCCCCCGCCGCCCTTTTAGGCGGGAACGTGACTGCCTGTTTTTGCTTGCGCATGCTGACCACATGCTCCTGCCAAATAGATTTAATTCATGCTTAGCCCTTCCCCTTAGTGGGACGGCCTGATTGGGCAAGGATGTGGGCTCCACTCACTCCAATTGGGTCTTGAGCAATGTGGCGGAACCAACTAAGCTAAGGGTTACCTGAAAACCCTACTTGGGCTCTCGGCCAAGTTGGCAAGTTCTGAGCAACCTAGCTCATAACCCACTGTTGAGTCCCCCGTTCATGGGCTTAACCTCGTTCTTCGGGGCTGATTTAACTATAGGCGAATCGAGCATCCAAGTAGCGCCAAAAGTGTAGCGACCATATCGTCCGCGCCGTTGGACTTGAAAGCAACATCTCCGGCCAGGTGTCTTACATTTTTCTGCGCAAGCGCTGAGTAAGACACAAGGATTCAAGAAAGAAAAGGGAAAGACAGCCGCCGCCACCCCCCCAACAAAAAAACAAACAGGAAACCAGAGCCGCCGCCGGAAAGAACAAAAAAAAGGCAAAACAGCCGCCGCACACAAACAACAACGGAAAACTGGGCTCCGCAGAAAACAGCCACCACCCAAATCAGGTGAGATGTCTGGTTCTTCGTCTCTCCCTGTCTCGAATCTGGCTGGTGGCCAATGGGCACATCCCGCTCAAATGGATAGACAAAACGAGAGACATGTGCCACTGTGCGGGTCTCGTTGAGGCTCGGCGCATCTCGGTGCCCTCTTTTCGTTGGTTTTAAAGGTACACCACGAGGAAACGGCCATGTTGCCAGCTCCCCCACTTCAAGACGCACGCATTTTGACCAAATCGTGGACTGTGACCGCCGGCCTGGCTGTCAGGACTGTGATGCAAGAGCCTCAGCCAGGTCAGCTCCGTCTGAGATGCTGCTTTCTCTTTGGGGCTCCCCTTTGCTCACTTCCGAAGGAGTGGACTGGCCCGAAGTCTGAACTTTTTGTTCACCATTGCACCAAAACAAGTCTTCCTCACTTCCATTTGCTTCAGCCTCCTGGAAACAATAAAAATATGTCCAATAGTGATAGATTCCCTTTAAAACCAACAAGAGAAAATATAACATATTCTTAAGCAAATGGAAGCTCAAGCGAGAGGCTTCGCCTCAACCTACCACAAAACACACACACACACAACACACCACCCACAACCCACCCACCCAAAAAACACACACACACAATTCCGGACCCCACCCACAATAGGCAACATGTTCCGCCACCAAACGGGGTCGGTCCGGTTCGGGATAGTTCCTCGTCCAAGCCGAAACCTGCAATCGGATCTGGGGCTCAGCCAGCAACTCGCCACCCAAAAACTGGCCAAGGACACACCTTGAGATTACCATTGTAGGCCATGACTACTTGCCTACTTTCTCGCTTTAAAGGGGATTGCCTGGGTATCATAGAAACTGGCCCTACTTGCCAATTTGTTGTATGCGGCAAGAAACCTGCGACTTGGACTCAGGAAGAAATGACCAGCCCCCCTACGTGTCTCGAAAGGACTTAACTGCATAAGTAAAAGTCATGTCCCCAAGACTACCTACCCTCCATATCGAGAAGGACACCTCTTGCGAACCCTTGAAACAATGTATCCACTTTAAGGGGCGCAGTGCAAAAGTGTAAAGTTGATTTCAAAGGGAAAGGCCCCAGCAACAAAAAGAAGAAAAAAGGGACACTGGAACTCTGGATTCATCTACCTGGGTTTGGATTGCTCTCATCCCCCTCCCCCTATGGTTTTTTCGCCGCCGAAGCTCTGAAAGTCCACGGGCTCCGCCAAGCCATGTGCCAAGTGAAGTCTGGTAATCTGGCCGAATCGAAGCGCGGAGTTCGGCGCTTGTCCAATTCAATCGGGGGTTTCAACGCATGAGTAAGCATGGCTTCCCAAGTCACAAAGACAGTTGGGAGTGTTAAGCATGGCTTCCAAGATAACAAAGACAGTTGGGAGTGTTAAGCATGGCTTCCAAGGTAGCCAAAACAGTTGGGAGTGTCAAGCATGGCTTCCAAGGTAACAAGGATTCTAATTTCGAAAGTACCTCTTGTTTTGTGGCTTGAAATGGGTTGAAAAAGAAAACAAAAGAAAAACGGCCGTTCTGGGGGTCCCCAAAAGAAAGACACCCATATCCTTCTCTCCCAATTCAATCGTTTCTTGGGGGTGGCGGGGGGCCGTAGCATTTGGGGTCCAACTTCCCCTACATGGGCATTCCTACCCAGCACGCAAGACAACAGATCGGATAGAACTTTGGCCGTTGAAAAGGAAAACAACCTGGACCTTCCAACGTACCTGAAATTTCTGCCTCCCCTGTCAATTGGCTGGTTTTTGGAATTCGTACCTTTTCTTGGCTTGTCCTCTTTTTTGGACCTCGAGCAGGTTTTGGAGGCATTCGGGCTGTCAGGTCCTAAGTATGTCCTACTCGAGCAGAAATTGTGTGCCAAAACGCTCGCAACGGCCCGAAAAACGAGCGCAAAAACCCGCCAAAAAGCGCAAATGTGAAAAGTGCTAATTGAACATTTAAACCTCGGGACTTTTTCATTGCTCGCGCAGAATTGACGAATCGGGCACAAACTGTGTAATCGATCACCACAACAAAAAAAAACGAGCTAAAAAACCGGTAATGGAAGGTCCAGGAATCCGCCGGCAATACCATGTAGGTGTTCAATATAGGGAACCTGTGAAGGTGGTTGGTGGTCTTTCGGCTTCCCTGGGAAAAAAAGGAAACGCGAAAAATGGGAGGGGGTCCATTTTGAGAACCCCCAAGGTTCGATCTGAGAGCCTGCAACCAAGAAGCACCACACCCAGTTTTAGAAAAAAAGGCTTTACTTGGAAAGCCGATGTTGCTTTGGCATCGTCAGGCCGAGGGTGCCGTTGTTCTTTGGCCGCTTTGGCCTCCAACATGTCCCGTTGCAAATGAAGGGATCAATTCGAAACACGTGAAAGTGGTTCAACATAGAAGTGCCTGGAAGCCTCCCTTTCTGCGGCCTTTCACCTTCCGTTCGCCCTTAGTGTTCCTTCCGCAACGTCGAAGCGGTCTGCTTCCTGAAACGCAGTTGAGCCACTTGACGGCGAACTGCTAGGCCCCACTTTGGGAGCTCGCCCGCTGCTGTGTTCCTTTCGCGCTCCTTTCGCCAGCGAAGCTTGCATTTTGTTGGCGCTCCACGGAAAAGGCTGCTGTGCCATGAACGACAAGAACACCAAGTGCACATGGTTTCATTGTCTGCGTGCGTTGTCTTTGCAGTCCTTTCGCGCTCCTTTCGCCAGCCTTTCGCGATGCAGGGGTTTCCTTTTCGGAGCAGCCCTCCCTTTACATAACTTTGCAATTTAGAACCCTCCGTGTGAAACGAAGTCCCGCTCAAGTGCACCCGCTCAGCACTGCACGCACGCCTGCCAAATAAGCGCGCCTGCTGGAGTGTGCAGACTCCCGCGCTGCCTCTGATCGGTCCAGCAGCGATACGTGAACGTGTGAAAATGGCAGCGGCTCTGGTGCTTTTGTCCGGGCAGCCCATGCCCCCTTGCTCAGTGGTCCCAGCACAAATCTGGGATTCACCATACAAATGCGCACGAAACACAGAGACACACAGACACAAAGCACAGAGACGCGCAGACAAAGACACACAGAGACACACAAACAAACAAGACCACTCCCACTACTGCCAGATACATGCGAGCATACGAATGGACCATTCGGGCACCTGCACGAATCTGCGTAAGGGACAAGGCATGCTGATCCTAGCAACGTCGGGCAGATTTCCCGTGTCGGCCCAAGCCCAATGAAGGTGAAGCAGAAAGCCTCAAACCGCAGATTCGGTCACAATTGGTTGGATTCGCCCATGCGAAAGAAGCAGACACCAGGCCAGCATGCAGGTTTGGGCCGCATGTCCTGCAGCCAACACTCCGTCCAAAAAAGCTGAGATACATCTTAAGAGTCGGGAAAAGAGTGCCCTCTGTGGTGCAACTAGAGAACCCTTGAATGGCCCAGCCATGGACTGCGGGCCTTCTCCCCTTTCCTGCCTTGTCACGCGAGAGCCCATTTGGCAAATCTGAAATGAAAATTGCGCAGCGGTCCTGCATCAGGCAATTGGAAAGCATCTAGCACCCTGACGATCTCGATCATTCTCAGCATGGCTTGACTTGCATCATTTGGATCAAACAAATCAAAGACTGGAAGGCTGCAAGCTGCCACATTGCAAAGGCCGGCAAACTGGGGCAGCAAGTCGTCCCTTGGCTCCCGAACTGGTGCGCCTTTGAACAAATCCTTGACCTGGCTTCCCAAACGTGAAGCGAATCCGAATCAAAATCTAGTAGAGGTCTACCCAAATCCATGTCAGTAACCGACAATATTACCACCATACCCCAAACCCATATCCACCAACCTGCAGAGCTGATAGGGGCCCATCCAAAACTGATACTTTGGTACTATTGTCGGTTGCTCACAATGCAGAAACTAAAACCTTCATTTACCGGCCCGAGTTTCATTGAGGCTCAAACTTTAAAAAAATGACCCTTTCAGCTGGGAAAGTCCAAGCCGCGGTAAAAAAAGAAGCAGGTTCCTTAAGAGGACAGGCCCAAAACCAGTGAGTCCGGTTGCAATTCAGAGCTCGTCCATGTCACAAACCCCAAACGAAGCATCAACAAATTCCGTTTCCAGCGAACCACAGTGGGCTGAGGCGAGTTGGAGGCCACCTCAAAAGTTGCTGGTGGACATGCATCCCCTTAATGCTTTAGCAAAGAATGACCGAAGGGTTTGGGACGGATGGATCAAAATTCAGACGAATCGAGGGCGCAAAACGCGTCGCGGTCCTGAATGAGCGCCTCTGTCATCGAGGCACCATCCAATTCCCTTCGGCGAATTAACCGATGGACCGTGAGAAATATGTGGTTGACTGACCTGGCCTTTTGAAAAGCTCCCACGGCAAAGAGGTCGAGACCTTGGGACGTGGGCGAAAAATCTCCCAGGCTCTGCCAGGATGGCAGAAAGAGAATGGGCAGTTGCCCGCTGTGAGCCAAGCGAAAACGGCGAAACGCAGTTGGAGTTGCAGCAAGCCAACGCGCTGCCTGAGAGTATTGGCCCAAATGACAAACTGCTTGCTTGCAACTAAAGCAGTCCACAATCAGGGAGTCTTGGTTGCTGTTGACCCCCATGCAAAAAGTTTAACTTTTTGGGGGTTTAGTGGAAAACCCCTTAATTTCCACAAACAAATAATAGCAGTTAAGGAGTGAGCCAATCAAACCTCAACTCTCCGTTCGACTGCAGCTGGCGGCTCTTGGTGGAGACCTAGCTACTTTTTTTTTTTACTTGCCGCCTTGGGCCGTTCGGCATCGGTCGGTATTGTCTGTTCCAGGGTGGAATCGAATCCCGGCGCTTATCCGCCACCGGTCCGAAGACCAATGGCCATACCATCATCTGAACAACAAAGACCTGGCCACACTGCCAATCGGGACACTCTGAGATAAATCTGGGTGAATCATAATATTTCACCAAGCTGAAATAAGGTGGTTGGGGGGCTCTTCCGCACATGAACCACCATTAATTCAACCCCAATGAATGTCAGTGTCAGCTCTGAGCAAAGGCACGAGCTCTGATCAGTCTTTTGAAAGGGTCAAAGTGACCGTTGAAGTTTCCGTTCGGCATCATGAGTGTGTCTTGGGCTTCTGCGGCGCTACTTAAAGCTGTTTGTGGGTTGGGTCCGGATACTTAGAGAGAAAATGCAAGGCCAACCCAAGCCCATGGAAAGGTTCAACAGGAATCTTCTGATCGAAGGAGTTCTTATCACATAGGTTCTCATCTCTGGTGGGGGCCATGGTTGTCTCATCTGGGCCAATGCGCTCGACCTGTTCTAAGGACATGAGACAATCTGGGAGTATCAAAATTAATCCTGCCAAACGTCAAGGCTGACAAGGGAAACCCCTTCGAAGGAAAATCACACACCTTGGCAACCTAAAGATCATAAGGGACATGGGAACGCTACGGCTCCCTCTCCTTGAACGAACTCACCCTTTGCAGCGACTCGGCCACAGATCTGAGGTATTGACAAGCAATCTGCCATAAAATGCGAATACCCAAACTTTCAAGAATCGCATGTCAAAAGCATATGCTTTTGACACGTTACGCCATGAGATCAGAACGTCTCCATCTAGTGGCTTTCTTTTTCGGCTCGAGAAGAGTCCTGTTTCCTCGTGGCTAGTGCCGTGCCGAACGCGCGGCCGTTTGCGGCTTCTAAGGCTGCCCCTTCTGAGGCTGCCGAGTTTCGGGATGCACATCCAGAGACGAAATCAGGTCCGCGCAGCTGGCTTTGTTCATTATATTTGTATAATGGTTTATGCATGTTTACAGGGCTTCATCCATCCCAGCTGGTGCGAAGTGGATTTTGTCAGAGTTGAAGCCACGTCAAAGGCGATGGGTGGACATAAATCCCTCCCGAAATATGATGTCCAAGGGTCCCTAATCAATGACAAATCATGCCCATATCAGGTGCTGCACAACACAGGCCCACCTTCCCAAGCCCACTTTGACAACAGGTGCCCCTTGCCCCTTGCCGCCCAACTTCAAAGTTGGACGCCCCTTGTTCACGAAGCCTGTTGAAAAACAACGCCCATGTCACAGAGCTCCTTGGGGGCTAGGGGGTTGCAAGATAGTTGGGCGAGAGCAAATGCGCTGGATCGTGACTCAACGCCTCAGGGTTCATGTTGCTGGTCAATCCAGTTCTCTAGGGTCGGGGCCCTGCAAAACCGGTCTTCCGCTTTATGGCCCCACCGAAGTCGTTCAAAGCACACACACACAGTCACACTGCACACCCGGTTGCTCACTGTGATCCCCCCCCAAGAAAAAACAAACAAAAAGACACTGACCCCAGTTTCGGCAACCGTAAGCTGGATAATGCTATCCCTTTCGGCCATGCACAGCACATCTGTGGCCAGGCACGAGATGCAGGAACGGCCGAGCCTTCGCGGAGCGACAGCTTCAGCCAATTGAATCGCAACCTCACTCTGGGAGACTTGGAAAAGGATCACCGCCTGGAACCACAACTGATTCATGGCGGTCTTCGCGATTTACGTGACACTCGTTCAAATGCCAGCTCACATGCAAGAAATTGCTTCGACTATCGGAAATACAGCTTCACAACCTTTCAGGCAACCTTCCCCAACCCGAACAACGGGTTGAAGCACATCATCTGAAAAGCTGGGAACGTTTCGGCACGTCCTTTTTGGAGGCCACCCTTTTTTCCATTTGCTTAAGCGCCCTGGAAAAAAACAAAATATGTCCAGTAGTGATAGAGTCCCGTTAAAACCAAGAGGGAATCAACCAAATCTTAAGAAAATAGCAGTTAAGTGGGGATTTCCCACTAAACCACAATAAGCAAAATTAAAAATGTAAACTGTTCGAAACAGCCATGTTTAAAAGCTACCCCTTTAAAAGGGTGGGTTGCTAAAGGTCCAAAGGAGGCCCACCAGGCCTTCAGACCGCTCATCCTCTGATGCCAGGCATCGATCAGTCCTTCTTGACCTCCTTCATGGACGAGACCAGCACCACCTCCGAAGACCAAACCAACCGCCAACTGCTTGGGAAATGACTGGCTGTTGAAAGGGAGGAACGGTTGAATCATGGACAAGCAATCAAACCTGGACAAAAAAGCGGCCTACCCAAATCCATGGCAATTTGAGAAGAAAAAACGGGCGGATATCTGGGTGAGAATCCTTGTTGCAGAAGTATGTATTGGAAAAGGACCGACTTTTCTGGTTGGGACTACCCCCGTTAACCTTCACGTAACCTTGGTGTTTGATTCATCACCCTCAAGCGGGATGCGAATGTCCCAACGAAGCCCGCGGTAAGCCGTCTTGGGCAAACCCAGTCACCTCCAAATCCGACTGCAACGTCATACATGTGAGGGACTGCCGAAACCTCTTGCGTGGCCTTAGTAGAGATCTTGGAGTTATCTGTTTTGGGTCCTTATCGTCCTACATTGTAGTCATAGTGGGGAGAAACAAAAACAAAAACGTAGCCCACAGGATGGCACTGCCGAATTTCCTAACGCTGACAGCTGGCTCCGCTGGAGCTGGCCAGCCGAACCCTTCGGCCAGCGCCTGCATCACAGCGCCTGCCAGAAGCCAAGTGACGATGATGGAGAAGACTGTCTGAGTCCTTCAGAGTTGTGCATCTACCGGGGGGGTTCTGGTCTTCAAAGGGAGACAGGAACACATGGAGATTTCCAGAGTTATGCATCTACCGGAATCCTACACCATTCCTTCCGCCAACGCTTCTTGCGGTCGCCCCCCAACACCTGTTTGGAGTTTTTCGCCAGGGGCAAAGGGTTTCATTTAAGTAGAAATGCCTGGGAGCGAAGGGGATCCAAAAGTCCATTTCGTCTGGTCACCGAGATCTCCAGGCGTGCGAGAACTCCAACAGAACTTGAAATGGGATCCTCTGGTTGACGTCATTTTGGGGGGGAATTCATGTCCACCAACCACTATGGAGCTGGTCCTCAATCAACATTTTCAGCTGCTTTGGCAAAGAGAAAGCAAAACGGGGCCAAGGCACGATAATGCCCAGAGGCCCTCTGCCAGAGGCGCCACTGCCGCCATCTACAAAAACGTCGCCGAATACTAGCCCCCCCTCCCACCTTTTCAGTGCAATTGACATATCTTGCAGGCCCAAATCGGGAACCCGACAAACCCAATACCCTTTGCAAAGAAAATAGACCACACGTATCCACCATAACCCCCTCCCCCTGGGCCCGACCCCTTTTTAACTGTCGCACACGTTTGCACAGCGCGCTGGCCCGTCATTAACATCAGGGATGGCCGCTTGCTGAGGCAAGAGGCCGCGCTTGCAGACCTTTCCAGAGTCCGGAATCAGCATCACGCTTGACGCATCACAAATCCCAAACCAATAGGAAACCAGCCTTTTTGACGGTTCCACTTGGAAACCCAAGGGTTGTTTCTTCTCTGCTTGGAGATCGATTCGCCAAGATTGCAAGTGGTTAGCCACTTGGGGTATAACTATAACCCCTTCTTCCCCATTACAGGGCCCATTGCCCCACATTCACGGGTGGATTTTTACAAGTGGGCTATGCCCGGCTATGCCCCAGGATACCCAGAACCTGCTAGCTTGGCAACGAAGAAGGGGTGAATCAAAGCATGTCTGGTCTATGGGGTTCTCAGTCCTCCTCGTCTGCCCCGCCGTTTTGGGGGGTTGAGACCTAGCCCTAGAGGAATCGCTTCAGGCGCTCACGGTGCGGCCACCTGAGCAAAAGTGGGGATTGGTTCGATGGACAGTAAGTGGATCGACTAAAATGGTCCAACCACAAGTGACTAAAGTGCAGGAACTCGGGGAGTGACTGAGTGAGCAAAGGGGGTCTGCTGCCATCAGTTTGCACTGCCGTTGCTTGAGTCAATAGAGTGTCGTCGTGAGGCTTGGTACCCATTTCAGGCTGGTTCAAAGGGAAACGGAAAGTAAACCAAGTAGGGGGTTCCCCGATTTGTTGAGACAAACCCAAATCTTTGGTGCTTCGTGTTGCAAGGTTGATGACCATCTTGTCAACCTGGGGAAAGCAAGCGCTTTGACCACGGCTCTCGGTGAAGTCTTCCCCTTGGTCCAAGATACGCCGCAGCCAGCACGGGCAGCGCAGCTTCCACGGCCAGCCTCCGGACAGCTTTCGCTCGGTCAACTGCTCCAAATGAGGCCCTTCCCTAATGACCCCAGTGTCTTTTTTTGGGAGGCTTCACACCAATCAAGAGATTCACCGTGTGTTCTATTTTTCCCAGGCTGTAGGATACAACTCGGTTGCTTTCTGATCCCCTGCTAAAAGTTTAGCTTTTAGTGGTTTACGGAAAGCCCATTAGTTGGCGCCTCAGGTGCAAATATATGGCCATGGGTCAAAATTCTGTAGCCCCAGTGAACATCCCAATCCCCCACTAAAATGGATTAAAATGGGTGGTGCACCTATCCCAAAATGGGATTCTATTGGTTTTGAACCATGGCCATATTTTTCCGGGCTGCAGGCTGCAACATGCCCTGATGCCCCGGGTAAGCATACTTGGCCCTCAGCCAACCAACGCGTGAATCGCGCCTGTGATCCACGTCTAGTCGCGGAGGATGGAAGAGGGGCGAACTAGGGCTCCAGTGTGGATCCCTGTCAAACTCCTGCAATCGGGCGCAAGCAATCCGCCGCATCAAGTCAAGGCTACTAAGGCAAACATTCGGCGGATGTGGTCAAAATAGGGGAGTTGGGGATTCGGACAATAAAAAGTAAAGGTACCATTCGCCTCAAACAAAAAGCACGTTCACCGCCCGATTGTTTTTGGACTTGGGACTTGGCGAAGCCATGGACTCCGGAGTCCCACCCGTGCGATCCGAACCCCCACGAGAAGTTGGCACCCCCCCAAAAACACTAACCGTGTTTTCGGGGTCAACATTTGCACTTCTCAAAAATGAAGGGAAACTCCACGTAAAGAAAAACAAAACTAGAGGACGATTGGCCCGAAAGCATTTTTCCACAGGTGCTCATCCAGCCGCGGAGACACCTTTTTACATCGCGGCGATGCTCAGTGTGTATGGTCACATGAGAGCTCCATCTCATCATCCGACTTTCCTCTCGAACTGCGCCGCGCGATTTCTCACGAAAGTGGTCTGCGCAAGCTGCATTGTTCCAGGCTGCTGCGCGCAAGTGCTCTGTGCAAGTTGCTCTGCGCAGTGCTCTGAGCAAGTTGCTCTGCGCAAGGGCTCTGCGCCAGTTGCTCTGTGCAAGCGCTTTGCGCATGTGCTCTGTGCAAGTTGGTCTGTGCAAGTTGCTCTGCGAAAGTGCTTTGTGCAATTGCTCTGTGCAAGTTGCTCTGCGCAAGTTGCTCTGCGCAAGTGCTCTGCGCCAGTTGCTCCGCGCAAGCGCTTTGCGCATGTGCTCTGCGCAAGTTGGTCTGTGCAAGTTGCTCTGCGCCTGCTCTGTGCAAGTTGCTCTGCGCAAGTGCTCTGAGCAAGTTGCTCTGCGCAAGGGCTCTGCGCCAGTTGCTCCGTGCAAGCGCTTTGCGCATGTGCTCTGTGCAAGTTGGTCTGTGCAAGTTGCTCTGCGCAAGTGCTTTGTGCAATTGCTCTGTGCAAGTTGCTCTGCGCAAGTTGCTCTGCGCAAGTGACTCTGCGCAAGTTGCTCTGCGCAAGTGCTGCCGGAGCTGCGGGGGTGTGCTCCGCGTACTACGTTTGTACTTAAAAGTTGCGATTCTCCAGCCGGAGCTGCGGGGGTGTGCTCCGCGTACTACGTTTGTACTTAAAAGTTGCGATTTTCCAGCCTGAGCTGCGGGAGCACGCTCCGCATACTACGTCTGTACTTAAAAATTGCGATTTTCCACCCGGAGCTGCAGGAGCACGCTCCGCGTACTACGTTTGTACTTAAAAGTTGCGATTTTCAAGCCGGAGCTGCGGGGGTGTGCTCCGCGTACTACGTTTGTACTTAAAAGTTGCGATTTTCCAGCCTGAGCTGCGGGAGCACGCTCCGCACACTACGTCTGTACTTAAAAGTTACGATTTTCCAGCCGGAGCTGCAGGAGCACGCTCCGCGTACTACGTTTGTACTTAAAAGCTGCGATTTTCAAGCCGGAGCTGCCGCGGACCAGGGGGGAATCGAACCCGCGACCGCGGGATTGCGAAAGCAGGCGCGCAAACCACGAGACAACTTCCAAAGGCCGTTTCGCGAGCAAGAATATTGCACGGCGCCACAGCGAGAGCGCTTCGACACGCACAATCTCCGCAGAAGGTTCGCCGAGACTAAGACAAATTCACACGGCGCCACAGCGAGAGCGCTTCGACGCGCACGATCTCCGCAGAGGGTCGCGCGCGCACCACAGAAATCGTAAAAAGTCCTCAGTTTTTGAACCTCGACCACGCGAATTTCCGCAGAGGGTTGCGCGCGCACCGCAGAAATCGTAAAAAGTCCTCAGTTTTTGAACCTCGACCACGCGAATCTCCGCAGAGGGTCGCGCGCGCACCGCAGAAATCGTAAAAAGCTTTCAGTTTTTGAACCTTAACCTCGACCACGCGAATCTCCGCAGAGGGTCGCGCGCGCACCGCACAAATCGTAAAAAGTCCAGAGTTTTTGAACCTCGACCACGCGAATCTCCGCAGAGGGTCGCGCGCGGCCAGCAGAAATCGTAAAAAGTCCCCAGTTTTTGAACCTCGACCACGCGAATCTCCGCAGAGGGTCGCGCGCGCATGCGAAATCGTAAAAAGTCCTCAGTTTTTGAACCTCGACCACGCGAATCTCCGCAGAGGGTCGCAATCCCGAGCGACGATCAAACTCCCGCCCCGGCGCCTTAGAAACCTAAACTAACTTACATAGCTGCTAACGCCGAAGCTCTAAGCTAACCTTGGCTCTATGTAATTGGCTCTACTTGGCTCTATGTAACTTGGCTCTATGTAACTTGGCTCTATGTAACTTGGCTCTATGTAACTTGGCTCTATGTAACTTGGCTCTATGTAACTTGGCTCTATGTAACTTGGCTCTATGTAACTTGGCTCTATGTAACTTGGCTCTATGTAACTTGGGCTCTATGTAACTTGGCTCTATGTAACTTGGCTCTATGTAACTTGGCTCTATGTAACTTGGCTCTATGTAACTTGGCTCTATGTAACTTGGCTCTGTAACTTGGCTCTATGTAACTTGGCTCTATGTAACTTGGCTCTATGTAACTTGGCTCTATGTAACTTGGCTCTATGTAACTTGGCTCTATGTAACTTGGCTCTATGTAACTTGGCTCTATGTAACTTGGCTCTATGTAACTTGGCTCTATGTAACTTGGCTCTATGTAACTTGGCTCTATGTAACTTGGCTCTATGTAACTTGGCTCTATGTAACTTGGCTCTATGTAACTTGGCTCTATGTAACTTGGCTCTATGTAACTTGGCTCTATGTAACTTGGCTCTATGTAACTTGTCCAAGGGCTCCGCACGGAAGAACCCTTCGCGATGCTTTCGGGAAAACTGGTGTATCTCTGGAGCGCTGGGAGCTCCAGTATCCCATCAGCAACCAAAGGAGGCGAAGAGAGATGATAGCCAAAGCGGCAAAGGGACCAATCTTTGCGCACGCAGGAGTCAAATGAGTCAAAAAAAAAGAAGCTCTTTCTGCTTGGGCTTGCTCTTCATCGTTTTCCTTGTAG